TTTATTTTCTTGAACCATGAGCAGCACAGCCATGGTCGTAGCTGGGGAAGGAACATGAGTAGGTTTAACAACAGCCAAGATCCGTAAAGCCTTTTGAGCTGGTCCAGTTCACATTGGACTTGTACCGGAATATATTTTATAAATTAAATTTATATTTTTATTAAAGACTTACTCAAACTAATCATTATAAGTTAATTGAACTATTTAAGAATATATTATTTTATTGAAACCTTAAAAGCACAATACATTTAACTCCAGGTTATCTTCAAAATAAGGATTTTGAAAGCTTTATATTTGTCCCTTGGTTGAAAAGTTTTGGTACATTTAGGGGTTAAAATGTCATAACTTTAACATGCTTGAAGATCAACCCGACTGGACCAATAATTTATTAGGAGAATTTGTTAGATATGGGATTACATGAAGTTTTAACAGAACCACACTAGTTAAAAAACCTTATGCTGCCAAGAGATGACATTCTTCTGATGTTATTCCCAGTAAAAATATTCTATTGTAAGGAACCAGCATCTTCTGTTTCATTTCAAGAGATCCCAGTTACATCTGGAATATTGAGCATAGAATAAATTGGATAAGATAAGCTTAATTCTTGTTTTTATATTTTCACTAGGAATAGGACAGCATAACCATGACTAGGTGTGGTCATTTAGTTTTTGCAAATATACTTGTGACAGCAGCACATGAATAAATCAATAATACAATATAAATGTAGATTGACCTACAAGAACTTTTCAATTATAATCTATACAGGAATGTTATCTAGAAAAGGTTACCAAATTAAAAAGGATTTCAAAAAAGATGAAAAAAGATACATTAAAAAAGGTATGGAAGGAATAAAGTCAATTACCTGCATATTTAATGCAATTTTTAGAACATAATCAATGGGAGGGATTTTGTCCTGATAGTGAAAGCCTGTTTCGCAGACAGCTGACAGCTTCATGAAAATTAAAAATGTCAGAATCCAGTGAAATTTTGAAGACGACTTTCTAGCCACATCTCCAGCATGGAAAACAGTATACATCGGAGAGGAGTCTGCTGGCTACTGCTCATGCTAAATCATACCTCATCGAATATCCATTTGCAAGCACCAGTCTTCTGTAAAAGTTGAATGTATTTAAATAGCAATCCTATTACATCCTGCATATGATCTGAAGTCCAATAAAAATTTTTTAGTGAAAAAAATACACTAAAGTACAGAGATTCCAAGAAAAATAAAACAAGGTTAAGCAACTCTTACCAGAAAAATAATAATAATAATAATAATAATAAAAATAATAATAATAGTTCAAAGGTTTAAAAATAAATCAAATATACCAGATCTGTATGGGGTCAGGAGGTGGAAGGTGGAATGATTCAAAGAAACGTAAAAGAATATAAAAATTTACCATGACCAGCATCTGTAAGGTCAATTACTACTTTGAAGAAAGAAAACTCCAAAGTCCACTCGCCTTCACCAGCAGATAATCCGGTAGCCCAACCTGCAAAGTGTCATAAATGTAAAGTGGCTAAAGACATGCATAGACAAATATATTCACAACACACTGACCATCCCAACCCCCAAAAAGTAAATAAATAAGAGAGAGAAATAAAGAAGATCTCATAGAAAAGACAATTCCTAAGCTAGCATACTCCTAAACTTTCATGTATATTGGTAAATATTTTAACTATGAATCATTCAGTATTCTCACAGAACATGACAACCAATATTCAGTTCAGTGGAAAAACCTATTTTCTTCATGCCATATAGGATATCTGTATCTCAATTTACTAGGATCATTGACCTCTTTCGTGTCTTACCACCTCAATCAAATTTGAACCTTCAGCTTGCATGAATAAAAGCTTCCCATTTTGTTTCCCTAGTCCATTTTATTCACTTATTTTGCAGCAGCACAATATTAAGTTTCCTGCTTTTCTAAAATACAAACATTTCAAATTAAAGAAACTCCTAAATTTAGATTCCTGACATTTGGTTTAAATCATAATCAATCACAAAACTTGTCTCTGCTCAATAAGCATTGTAGTCATTAACAGAGCTAATTGGCTTTAAGCATATTTGTAAACGAAAACTATGAAATCAGTAACAATATTGCTGCAATGATCTTAAGATGTTAATTTAGGATGATCCTCTCACTTTCCTCTCATGCTAAAGTTTAAATCTTTGCAACTAGTAACCTTCATCCACTTAAAGGATCACAACAATACTACATTGCCAGTATAGTATCTGCACTTAACAGTGACATAGCTTGAAACTTTGAGGTTACAAGTATGTTTAAGGCAACTTAAGTCACAAACAAAATCTTGAGGGATTCAACTAAGACAGTGTAATCATGGCTAGGATTCTGAACCATGATGCTGCAGATATTTAACACCTTTTACAAACTATTTAGAAGGTTCCTCCTATAACTGCATCACCATGCACAAGGACATGATTAAATTATCAATGCAACAACTTGTTCCAGCACTTAACTTTATCTTGCTAATTAGAAATTAGCATTAAATTTATTTGGATTCTATTTAACTAAATTATGGTGTAGAAAAGTTTTTGTTTCATGTGCCCTCAAGATGAAGCACCTTCTTGGCAGATGATAAATTCATCTTTTATGACACCAAAACTAAAAAGATACTTTGACAAAATTTTTCCCATTCGATAGTTGAGATTGTCAAACTTTTTTTTTTCCTCATCCATATTATTTACTTAGTAAAAGCAAAACATGTCAATAAACAAAATCATTTCAGTTCTACTTTGAAAGGAATCATCCAAACTTCTGTAAAGGGAACATGTCTAAGATATTTCAAAACTTGACAGTTATAAAGCATGTAAAAGATATGCAAAACCTACCCAGTTTCTTCAAGACGTAAAACAGAGATCCTTCTCCTTCATGACCAATAAGATGACCAAGATACCTGCATGGCCCTTCCTTGTAATAATGAATCCCTGGAGTTATTGGCCATACGATTCTCAATTTGTTGCCTTCCTTTATTGGAACTGTTCTAACAAGAATCTGAAACAATACACAACACAAAAGAAGGATTAATCAGTAGCAATCCTAAAAATCTGCTATGAAATATTTTCTTTGTATCTGCCATATATTGTTAAACATGAAATGTACTCATAGTTACATACCTGTAAATGTTCTGATGTGCAAGGCTGACCAGGAAAACTTGGTAAGCTTCTATCAGAGTTTCTAATTTCCTGGAACTTATCCTCCACCAGGCTCTGAATTTTATCAAGACTTTCTGAAAATCCAGAAACATTATAATCTTCTCAACATAAAATCCTTGTATAGTTAATTGCAAACAATAGGCAAACTTGGTCACCATTCACAGACCTTTTGCATACACAACTAGATGCATTAGGTTGGCAGAATAATTTTGTTCATAGAATTTAAGGAGCTCAAGTCTTGTGTCCACTCCTCTTGCCTTTGGTCTAATCTCCAAAGTATCCCAATTCCCTACATGTGATAACTCTTAGAAACTGTATGTGCTCAAAAGCACTGAAAATTCAGATTTGTTTCTTTCCTGTTTTGTTAAAAAAGCTTTTGGACAAGCTCTAATGCAGTTCAAAAATAAAATAAAATAAAATAAAATAATAAAAGATTAAAGACAGACAAGGATAAAGAGAAGGAACTGAACAACAAATAAAAAGAAGCATTCAAAAGGGAAAAAGAGGAAATATTAGTAAAGATAGAAGGAGAAAAACAAAGTGACTTAAATCAATCCCAAACTATCAATGCTCTGCCCAAGTATGCAGGAGGCATCGTGTATACAAGAAAGCACCAAAAGAAATAGAAAGAGAAAAAGACTGAGTTATCTCAATTTTCAAACCTCTGCAGAACCCTCAAAAAGAAATAATAGAAAAATGAAAGAAAGCACCTGTGAAATCAACATTGTGTGTTGGATGAAAGGAGTGTCCAAAAGATTTACATGCAAAGGAAAGTCTTAGCAGCGGATGAATACAGCCTCAGACATATCTCTTATCCAACAAGGGATAGTGTAACTTAAATTAGAAAAATTCCTAACCTGCGCCAAATTTATGATAAGGATGACCTTCCATACTTAGATGCTTTTGAAGCTGCATACAAGGAAAAGATGAAAAGTTACACAGAAAGAGCAGTTAGGAATATTTCAATAAATTCCACTGTCATGAAATGGTACATCATTACAAATATGACAGATCATACATAAGCACTAGGAAAGGCAATGATCACACTGTAAAAGTGATGAATTTTATCATCAAGCAAATACATTCTTGCTCAAGCGTATGAAATAACAGCACCATAGCTGATAGCTGTTCCTACCCATCAAATTGTTATGCATGTAGACGCTATTTTCAAGGTCATGTTTGAAGTTATACTTCATCATCCTCAAGTATCAAAATCCAATTAAGGAGCATCAGCTCTCATAAATTCACATCTCACTTCCACTTTGAGGAATCAATTCCCTAACTACCCTATAAGCAGTAGCTTCACTTTGAAGGTTGGTCAAACACAGAACTATACTCATGAATTTGAGAAATTATTCCAAAAATTTCATAAAGCACTCACAAAACAGAAATTTTTATTACCACGTGCAAAATGCATGCATGCAAACAAAAATAAGGTGGTCATATTTTAAATTCCAGACATTAAACTGTAAAAGACTTGCTATGTTGCATTAAAAATGCTCAAACTCAATAATCCTACATGAATATGTTACGCATTGTGCTTTAAAAACATAAATAAAATAAACCAAAACAAGGGAGAGTCCTCTAATCTGAGTATGATCTAGTTCACACAAAAGAACCAACAATAACAGAGTCAGCATCTGAAATTAGAATATTCAAAACTCTGAAGTTACTCAGTAGACAAAAAGAGAGTTGATGGCTATATATCTGATACCTGGCTCATTCTCCAAGCATCAGAAAGTAAGTTCTTCTGGTTCTCTAGAGAGAGAGAGAGAGAGAGAGAGGGATAAACACCAGTTAAAAGTGATTCAATGTAGTGAGAACTATTGTATTAAACTAAATCCAGAAATAGCAAACCAGAATCAACTGCTTTGATTTCCCTCATGGTTGCGTCAGCTGACATCAATGGTTTAATGAAGAACTGTGCAAATCTGAAGAATAAATCAGTAAAGCTATCCAATCTCACAGACTTTACAAAAGCATTGCTCAACATCAGAATATATCAATTAAACAGCACCAACCTGTCCAATGCCTCCTCAAAACCATCAGTGTTAACATCAAAATAATAGTTGGTGTCCTCAGAATCTGTGAAGGCATTTGTGCTGCCTCCATGCTGTAGATAAACCACAAGGTAAGTTAATATAAGGATAGCAGGCTAGCAGCATATGAATATCAAATGATTTGTTCTAGGAGAGTCCATAATCCACTTCTCTCCTATGAGTTTTAAAACAATTAATCAAGCTTAGAAAGAAACACAAATCCCAGCAACTAAAAACAATCATATCCTTTCTACAACTTCCCAATACTAGAGGGTTTGTCTAATAAGGATACAGGTTTAAAGTACAATAAATATGGGAAAATGTAAAAGTAAACCTTTATTTTAACACCAATGCATAGAAGATTTTAATTAGTTAATTGATTAAATCAAGTCAACATTTATCCTTTCTATATAAATAATTGTAAAATAGTGCATTTATCGAAAAACCAATGTTTAAAATAGTAATTACCTCATTAATGTACTTTGAGTAACTATCCTCCAAAGGATACTTCTCACTAGCATAGAAAAGCATGTGCTCTGAGAAAACACATTACAACAACTAGTCACAAACAATTACTACCTTACTAGATATAAGAAAAGGGGATTCCTTTTCTCCAAAAAGAATACTGAACCAGAATAAACCATTCGGAATCAAGTAATTTAAAAGAAAAATCTATGCTAGGACGAAGAAGTACCGAGAAAATGAGCAAGGCCTTCGAGGCCATCAGGATCGGAGAAGTAACCAACACTGACATCCATGGAAGCAGCACACTGAAACATCAAGAAACAACAACGAGAAACTGTTGGATTTCTGATATGAATTGAATTCCAATTTTAACGAACTAAGGAGAATAGATAGGGAATTGCTGATTGCCTTGTCGGTTTCCCGATCGCTGATGAGGAGGACTTCGAGGGAGTTCTTGAGGACGATCCTCCGGTACTCCCTCTTGTCGGTACGGGGCTTCAGTATCTCGATGTCATCTTTACCAATGGCCATTTTTTCTGTTCAGGGAACAGAGCTCCACCGGCGTGGTGTTTACTTCGGAGAGAAGGAGAAGACTGAAGAATCGTGCCAGCGTTTTCAAGAGAAAAGACATGAGGACATGAGGAATCCATTTTCGTTTGGGCTAACATAAATATATGGTATATTGACTTTTAGGTTCTTAACTCTTTTGTCCATTAACTTTTTTTTATAACCAATCAGTACACTTCCTTAAAAAGAAGGGAAAAAGGAAGTTTAGCTACCTGAGTTTGGATTTAGGAAGTTGGAGACGAAGGGAAGGAGAGTGAGGGGTAGTATTTCCTTCTTGTTTAGGTAAACTCATTAAAGGAAGAGGAAGGTGGGTAGATGGAGGCATAAGCAGAATTAAAAAATATTTTTAGGAGGGTTGAATAAAACTTTAATAAAAAAATAATGAATCTATGTATCAATGTGAAAAATAAAAAAATTTTAAATAACATTTGTTAGCTTTTAACAACAAACTAATAGTAGTTGATAATGTAGTATAAATATCATAATTAAAAGATAAAAATAAACAATATTAAAAAGAAAAATATATATTATGAAGAAAGAAAGGAGAAGTAAATACATTAATGAACAAATATTTTATAAAAAAATAATAATAAACAATTTTTATTCAATTAATTTTTTTTCCCATATTTCACACGATCTTTATTTTCCTCCTCTTTCTCTTTGTCATTAAAAATAAGCTTTAATAACACAAATGTAAGAAAATAATTAAAATGGTATGAAATAAGTGAGAATAAAAATAATAAAATAAAACATAAGGAACTAAACGTAAGGGAAGGGAAGGGAAGAAAAAGGTGATGGAAAAAAGATTAACACTAACTTCGTCACCACTCCATCTACTGGCCGAGCCAAACGGAGCATTAGGGGGCCTTGCCATCACTTTTTCTTAATGTTTCCATGACCTTTTTCTTTCCCTCCTTTTACTTTTCTTCCCCTCATTTTTCTTTTTCGTCTTTTATTCATTTTTATCTAAAAAAAACTCTAAAGCGAATGTTTGGTTGGGGATTTTTTTTTTTTAATTCTTTACGTTTTTTTTCTTATAATTTTATTTATATATTTTTACACATTAATATTATAATAAAATAAAAATAAAAGTGAAATTTTAATATTTATTTTTCCTAGCACAATTTTTAAATTATAAACTGTTTTCTTACACTTTTTAAGAGAAAAAATTCCTTATAACTTTTCCTATGTACAACCCTCTTAATGACTTTCCTAACAACATTTTATATACTAATCTTTTATAAAAACATAGAAAAGTTAATAACCAAACAAAATTCTAACAAAATTTAATTTTCCATCAATAATTATCAATTGTTTCTACAATACTTTTCTAACTACTTTCTCAACAAAAACTTTCTTATACTTATCAACTTTTCATATAATACATTCTAATTACTTTCTCAATAAAAACTTTCTTAGTAAAATTGATTTTCTAACCAAACAAGCACTACAAAGTTGGATTAGAGCTGATTTTAAGAATTAAGTGCACTTACCAAAACCACATCTGAAAAATTGCACTTATAATTTGGGGTTAAGTTTACTTAAAGTGTAACTCATTTTCAATGATTATTTTTAGTTCCTGGATTTTTCCTTCATTTATTATTATTATTATTATTTTTTGAACAAGGGGAATTTTGGAGGAATGGAGAATGTTTTTTCACATAATTGATGAGAGTTCTACTCCCACCCTACTTAAACCCAAGCTTTTAGATTTGATTAGTGAACTAATTGAACCGATGGGCTGGTTCAGATTTTTCCTTCATTTAGTTTAACAAAGGTCCAAGACTACGATGACACATGTACATTTTAAACTTCAAACTTTTGATATTTTCAATTAAGTAATTTTTCCTCTCCTCCAAAATAATTAATTGTCATTTTTTAGATAAATATTTTTTTTATTTTAATCCTAATCCACAAAATTTTATTCTTTATCTTTAACTCTTATGTAAGAATAATATATGTAAATATATTAACTGCCCTCAAATTCTTAATCCATGAAGAATTAAAAAATTAACAATTATTTTGAGACAAGAAAAAGTAAAAAAATCAATTTTCCATGGAAAAGAAGACTCCCAATATACCTACTTATCACCAATAGTCAGCACAAGAACACTTGCCACTACTAAAATGGTGGAACCTGTAAGGATCCCTCAATATAATTCTTCTTTTGATAATTCCACTAACGAACTTGTAAAAAGAATGACAGTCACCACAGACACGAAGGTTCTTGAAAATTCGTACAATCGAACCTTCTGGAGAATTGATCAATGCAAATGCAAGTGCAAGTCTCTCACTATGATTCCAAAGATCATGCTCCTTCTGTTCTTCGTCTGTATCATGCAACGCATAGCTTGTGTCAGGGATATAACCAGCTTCTTTAATCATCTTCTTAAGCTCACCCAACTTTGCATAAATTTCCAGACTCTGAGGATGCGTCTTCTCTCCCATTCCAAATGAACTCACCTCATTCTTCAACTTCACCCAGCTGCAAGCAGGTTGCTTCTTTATGTTTTGTGATCCCATTTGTCTCCTAATATCCTCAACATCCTTCCATCTGCCAGTAGTTGCACAGACATTTGAATATAAAACATAAGCCGAGTCATCTGAAGGATCTAACTCAAGAAGATGCTGTGCAGCCATCTGCCCAAGCTCCAAATTGCCATGAATTTTACATGCAGACAACAAGCTCCGCCAGACAAGATGATTTGGGGGTACTGGCATCTCATTAATGAAAGTTTCAGCCTCAGCAAGCCTTCCTGAACGTCCAAGAAGATCAATAATGCAAACACAATGCTCTACTCCTGCTGGAATACCAAACTCTTTAGTCATAGAAGCATAATATGCAAGACCCTCATCCACCAGCCCACCATGACTGCAAGCAGAGAGTAGAGAGACAAAGGTAACACGATCAGGCTTCACTCCTGTTTTCAGCATTTGATGGAAAGTTTCTCCAGCCTTGTGAAAAAGCCCATGTCTAGCAAAAGCTGATATTAGTATGTTCCATGATAATCGTGACCTGTAGAATCGTTGAGGAAGTATCCTTAAAACATCATCCATTTCCCCACATTTTCCATACATATCCATAGCAGCATTTGTAACAAATGGATCTGACTCAAAACCAAGTTTAACAGCCAAACCATGGAGCTGTTTTCCTTCCTCCAATACAGCTAACTTAGCAGCAGCAGCAAGACCTTGAGAGAAGCTGAACTGGTCCAAATCTATTCCAGTCCTTCTCATCTTCACGGTAAGTTTTAAAACCTCTTCCCCATGGTCATGATGTGCATTTGCAGAGATGATTGCATTCCATGAGGCAGAGTTCTTACCAACTAATCCCTCAAAGATGTAGTTGCATGCTTGGAGATCACCGCATTTTGCATACATCATGATAAGGGAGTTACGCACATAATCATTTGATTCAAATCCTGTAGAAATTATACGTGCATGGATAGGCATCCCATGTGTTAGCAAATTATCAGGGGTCCAGCAAGCACCAAGAACGTTTGCAAGTGTGATGTAGTTTGCAGGTATACTTTCTTCTCTCATCAATTGGAAAGCATTTACCACATCATTCAGTTCTTCACTTTCTGCATAACCACCAATGAGTGCATTCCAGGTCACTTCATCTCGCCTGGGCAATATTTTGAACACTCGATTTGCTTCAACCATCACACCGGACTTTGCATACATGGAAACTAATGCATTTCCAACAATCAAATTCTCATGAAGGCCCATAAGAATTACAAGGGCATGAACAATTTTCCTTTCTCTCAGAAATTCAGGATTCGAACAGGCAGCCAATGCACTGGTAAAAGTGACATAATTTACCATCTTTCCCATTTTAAGCATTTCAGTAAATATTTCCAAGGCAGCAAGGCTTCTTCCATGCTGAACATAGCTGGCTATCATGGAATTCCATGAGATTGAATCCCTCTCTGGCATTTCTTGGAAAACAAACTCTGCATCTTCAATGCTCCCTGCCTCAGAATACATACCTAGAAGGCTGTTGTTTACACAAACATTTGAATCCAGTCCTAGCCTAACTGTTATACTATGAATTCCTCGTCCCCACTTCAAGTTATCCACTGAACTGCAGGCTGTTAATAAACTTGAAAGTGTAGTAGCATTTAATTGGTTATGACAATGACGCATTCTGTCAAAATGTTGCAGTGACTCTCTACAAAAAGCATTATGCACATTTGCAGAAATTATTGAGTTCCATGAGATTGTATCACGCTCATCCATGTGATCAAAGATATAGCAAGCATCTTCAAGATTCCCTAAACTACCAAACATAGAAATGAGAGAGTTAGCCACTGAAACATCATTCTCAAGACCAGACTTCACAACATGCCCAAGAACCTGACAACCCAACAATTCATCCTCAAGAGATCCACAAGCAGCAATCATGATAGCAAATGTATTCTGGTTGCAGCTAATCTTGTCATTTCTCATATGCTGATATAAGTCTATAACTGCCTTAGGATCTCCATTATCTGAATAACTAACCATCAGTGAAGTCCAGGAAACTACATTCTTCTCAGGCATTTCTTCAAAGAGCTTTTGGGCATCTAAAATAGCACCATATGCCCCATAAAAATGCAGGAGAGAAGTACCCACAAACACATCGCCTAAATGACCAACTTTAACAACAAAACCATGCACTTGAATCCCTTCATTAACCATACACGCTGACCTGTCACATGCAGTTATCAAGCTAGCAATCAGAAACCCAGTTGGCCTAACGCTAGAATCCAACATTTCACGAAAGAACACCATGGCCTGTCGATAAAGACCAACCCGAACAAATCCTGACATCATAGTGTTCCAAGAAACTTCATTTCTCTCAAACATTTTATCAAACAAGTAATGCGCACGACCCACGTCCCGAAATTTCGAGTACATGTTAATCAATGTATTCGTGAAAAACACACTCAAATGAATTAAACCCTTGATACAAAGTGCATGTAAGGCTTTGCCAGTGGTTTCTGTGCTTATTTGCGAAAAACCCTTATCATAAAAGCAGCAGATTTCAGGGTTTGGGTGGTTCGTGAAGGAAGTAGTACCATAGTCTCTGGCTGGCAGTGAGCACCGGATGGATGATATATCCCGTTTCTTGAAGCGAATTTGGCGGCAAAGAACTTGTAAAGCATTGGTACATGATGCTGGTTTGGATTTGAGAATGTTTCTGCAGCAACTAGCCAGCTCTTTTGATGATTTTGGTTCTCACTCCAATGTCTAAACAGTTTGCCGTTGGTTTCTCTATAGCGGCTGGTGATGGGATGGCTGTTCTTGAATAACCTCAGTAGGGTTTCGTTGGCTGGCTGGCGGGCGGCCGGGAGTGAGCTGCCGGAAGTCGCTCTTGAATATCAGGATTCAGGGGGTTGAACGAAGGCTAACAAACTAGAGAAACGGAAAACCCCACGATTGAGGCCTTGAACTTTCAACTTGTTTCTCAATCAAGCCCTAAGCTACTTATCATTACATATAAACCGGGTCTCTTGAGGGACCTCCCATGGGAGTGGAGGAAAGGTACAAATAAATATACAAACTTTATCATTTTTTATATAAAAATATAAATTTTTTTAGTTTTTAAATAATATAAGTAGATTTTTAATTTTTTCTGTTTAAGGATTAATTAAATAGTTTGTCATATTAATATCACCATTTAATTATTTTTTAAATAGAAAAATATAAATTTGACATATTTAAATAAAAAAATAAAAAAATAAAAATTTACTATTTTATTTAAAAATAACAAAATTTATATCTTTAAATAAAAAAAATTTACATTGTTCTCTGCACATTTTCTCAATGAAAACTTAAACCTCCATCTTGAAGTTCTTAAGAGTGTATCTTGGAATTCATATTCATTGTTTAACAATAAAATAACACTTATACACCCTCCTATAATCATTATGTTGGTTTAGATATTAGTGTTTATCAATCAAATATACAAAAAAATTAAGCAGAAAAACATCCAAAATTATATTATTCCAATAAAGTATTATGAAAAAAACTAAAACAATATTATTCTTACTTTAAAAAATTGGATGTTTTAATCTTTTTCAATGAGATTTTATTAAAATGAAATAATTTTTGGATTTTTTTTTGTCTAATTTTGTACATAAATGATTGATAAACATTTTTTCCTTTTATTTATTTAAAAAATTGTGAGTTACATCAGCGCACACCAAAATATATATAGAGAAGGAAGCTATTTGATAAAGTGAGAACTGCCACTGTTGAAATAAAATTAATTACTACATCTATTTTGATGAAAAGCTATTATGTGTTATCATGATACAATACCACTAACTAGTCTATCAATCATGTCTGAAATTTGAATGACAATCAATTTATATGGAAATGCAAACTAGGGAAAAAAATAAACCTAATGACAGCCCAATAAAATTTCTTATCTAACCACTTACAGGGGTTAAGTGTCTCCTTAACTGGTATAAGTATATAGCATAATTATATACTTTAACCCACGAGCGAATGGATGAGTTGGTAAGAGATTTTTTCAACTTAACTAGAGGTTTTGGTTTCAAACCTTAGGAATGCAGCTTCATTAAAACTCGTGAGGGAAAATTTTACCGTCTGTTAGGTTTTACCAAACTCGAATCCAGATTAATCGGTGGTTCAATAGGTTTCTGGATACCGGATGATCCATACAAAAAAAAGTAATTATATACTTTATTTTCTAAAGGTTCAACTCAGTGTTGCGTTATTCTCTTGCCTTAGTTGCAAAGGTGAAAAATTATTGCGTTTACATGTTTGCACACAACAAATTGCATTTTAGTGTGCATAACGCACAAATATATAAGAGATTAATGTTTATAAGTCAGACTTACAAAAAATTAAACAAAGAAACATTTTAAAATTACATTATTTAAATAAAATATCACAAAAAAGTCTAAAAATAACTTTTTTCCTACTTTAAAAGTTATGATGTTTTAGTTTATTTTAATAAAATTTTATTAAAATAACGTAATTTTGAGATATTTTTCTACCTAATTTTTTACAATATAACTAATTCCCAATTTTCTGAATATATTATTACCAAACACATCTAACCTAGAGATTATATATGAATCTCAATCTTTGCCATAACTCATTAGTGCCCCAGCTTACGTTTATACTGTGTGTGCTTCTTTTTGAGGCTTCTTGGTAACTATTTTTGTCCCATTTATTTTACTCAATATGTTAATGAAAATTTTTGTTTGTTTTACAGCTAATTTGTGAGGAGATTAGCCAATTAGGTAGGCCTTATTGACAATAGTTCTTTCATGTGATTTCTTATAAATTCAAAGGTTTCTCTCTCTTTTTTCTTTTTTTTCTTTTTTAATAATAATAATAATAATAATTTTTTATTTTCTTGAACCATGAGCAGCACAGCCATGGTCGTAGCTGGGGAAGGAACATGAGTAGGTTTAACAACAGCCAAGATCCGTAAAGCCTTTTGAGCTGGTCCAGTTCACATTGGACTTGTACCGGAATATATTTTATAAATTAAATTTATATTTTTATTAAAGACTTACTCAAACTAATCATTATAAGTTAATTGAACTATTTAAGAATATATTATTTTATAATAATTACTCAATTTATTTTTATCATTAATTTATAAATGAGAAATATATTACCATGAGTCTTATAAATAAATGATGTCATTTTGCTCAATTTGGTGAAGTCCCTCCACATTCTTCTAATTTTACCTTATTCTACTTCTAAAAATTCTTGGATAAAGAAGAGTGTTTTGAATTAAGTGACTCTACGGGTAGTGTAGACTAATAGAGTGTTATTATAAAATTATAACATATGTTATTATATTTCTATTGCACTGATAAATCTACTCTCTGCAAAGGCATAAATCATCTTAAAATATATAAACTTTTTATTTAATAATATTTTCTCATCAATATTTTTTTAAAAATTCACTAATTATTATTTTTATTTGATTTTGTGACTAAGACATAACAATGATATGATATGGAGATTTATAAAGTGTTATTATAAAGTTTTAGCATGTGATACCTATATTTCTACTATACTGGTAGATCTGCTCCTTGCAAAGGTGTGAATCACCATTAATAAATAAGCTTTTTATGCCTTTTAATGATATTTTTTTATTGATATTTTTTGATAAATTCACTAATTATTATTTTTATTTGATTTTATAATCGAAACACAACAATAACTTGATGTGGAGATGAAGAACAATGACATGATGTAAAGATAAAGAAAAATATTAAAAAAACAACAATTTTAAGGTAATTCAATCTACCTCTAATAATTTATTGAAGGTTGGATTTGGGATCAATCCAATGTCTACGTGTCAAAAAAGCCAATATCTACGAATCAAAAAAGAACTTCACACTTAAGCCGACTGTGTAAGCAAAATATAAATCATTTGTTTTTGGTGCGTCAAAACTGCAGGTATGAGGTTTTGGATCCTAATCTAATGATTAGCACAAGCTTAAATGGTAGGTTATTTATTCTTATGGCATGTGAACACACACACAAAAAAAAAAAAAAAAAGGCATGTGATACTGGTATACCATTCGCGCTACCTACGGTCCTTTTAAGGAATTATGTTCGTTGCTAGTAAATTTCAATCTGAACGTGTAATTACCTGGAATTATACGTGAATGGTTCCATGAACTTTTTGTTAAATACACTGTTGCAGATGATCTCAATATGGCTTGACTGAACCGTAACCATAAGAATGTACAATTCTTGTGTACTTTAGCAATATCAAGCAATGGCCTTTTCATTTCCATGCCATGATTATTATTTGCTCCTTCATTAGTAATAATTATAATAAAAAAATTGTCACATGCTAATTAGCGGCTAAATTTATAAAATTAAGGAGTTAGCCTTCGTTGTTATTGCATAAATTTATAAAATTAATGAGTTAGCCTTTGTTGTTTTTGCACATAGTTAATATTTAGTTTATTTCCAATAGCTTAAAAGAATATAAATAAATATGTGCATTTAATTGGCTATATAGTTTTTTGATGGAGCACGTAAAAATTTTGAGAGCCCATGTGAAAAAAATAAAAGAAGAGAGCTAACCAATTTGGTTCAAGCAACATGAAATTCGGGTTAGTATATTCAAGAAACGTAAGGCAATTCTTCAAACTTGTATGATCAAAGAGCCGTTTGTGGTGATAATATTAAGAAGCTAATATACTTTTATAAAAATCTTGTGAGAAAATGAGTTTTTTCATAAATCAATTATTTCAGAAATAAAAAAACACATATTTGAAATGCTCTTAATGTAAGGGATTGTGATATTCCTATATATGGTTATTGGTGATGAGATTAATGGTGTCTAACTAAAATTTTGTATAGCATTTCTATTATACATTATATAATAAAATATAATAGTGGTTAAGTAAGCAAATGTAATATGTACTCTTATTATATAATTATGATATAACGGCGTATGATGTAAAAGAATAAAGCACTTGAATAGAAGGAATGTGCTATTATAGACATTCCTACTATATAACAAGATACAATGACATTTGAGTTAAAAATGTTTAATTACATTTTTCTACATGTATTAAAGGAAAATGGGGGTTTACTAGCTCAAGATAAAAAATTGTAGTACCATGAATTGTCAATTTGAGAAATATGATTGTGTATTTTATAAGTAAGTGGATATGTGGGTTGATGTGATAAAAAAATAAGAAAAAAAAAAGTTAAATCTCTTTGTTACTCATTATACCTCGTGTAAAAATAAAAAAATAAAGAAAAAGAAAAAGGAAAGACTGTGCACATAGTCCAGTCTACTGTACATCAAGGAAGATTGGCTTGGCCCATCAAATTTAGAATCTCCCGCGAGGATACCCAACCCATAATCAAAATTTTGCAGGCAATAATTCCTAAAGATTGATATCAGGCAACAAGTCTTGAAAGAATGGGTTTTGAATAGGAAAAATGAATCACAGAAGAGATAAGCTGTGAAGGTACCTTATATGAGTAAAAATTTATTTACATATATATTTTATATATTATATTTACATAAAATCTTAATTATTTATCTCTTTACTTTCAATAGTTGAGATTTATTATAATTTTTTAGATAAAAAATAATTATCTTTAATAAATGTAAATAAATTTCAATTATTGAAATTGAAGAGATAAATGGTGAAAATTTTATATAAGTATGATATGATATGTAAGATTTAAGTGTTGTGTATAAGATTTAAGTATGGTGTATAAAATTTATGTATAGCATATGTGAAAGAAAGAGAGAAAAAAGCTTTGTAAGATGTCTTTCATAAAATAAAAATATCATATTTTAATTAATATTTT